GCTGGTCAAGAGGAATCCGCCGTCGTCTTCTGGTGGAACCGACCTTCGAATCTCTTCACCCAACACTTCCCCTCGAAATGGAGGTAAGCTCAACAATTATGAAACAAGAGATTCCTCGAAACCCAACTTTTTTTCGTATATATTAACTGCCAGTTCTTCATAATCTTACATCCCATGTCGTATGGCTGACAAAAACAGCAACAGCAACAGCAACAGCAACAGCAACAGCAACAGCAACAGCAACAGCAACAACAAATACATCAGCTCTATAACACACTGATTCAAGCTCACTAACTGCTATCAACATGCTGATATTGCTCTTCATGCTGGCCTTGTTGAAACAGCGGGCTTTACTATTAAATAGTGTGAACAAGGATCGGAGGAACAGCTGCAAGTTTACCTGGACCATGCAGCAATGTTGCAGAATATTGAGGCTAAAGTAGCCCATTATCGTCAGGTGATAGGTGGTTTAAACAATCCGCCCTCACAGCTGGTCGTCATCTGGAGAGGGGGTGACGAGTTGGTGGGTGCTATGGGGGGTCTTAGAGCGATGAAGAGGCTGGGGGATACGAAGGAGGTAATGTAGCACGAGGGCTATGGGGAGGTGAGGGTGTGTGCGGGTATGGGAGTACGGGAGTATGTGAGCAAGCGAGTGTGATAATACGTGGGAATAGGGGTGTGAAATGTGAAGGTATGGGGCGACTGGCAGGGCGAAGGATGAGTGCACGATTTGGAGTGGCAGCTGGGTCAACTGTGAGCGTCTTGAGAGAGCGGCTCGGGAGAGTGCGACTGAAGTAGACCTCAAGGCAAGTCTGCAACAAGTGTCGTGGAGAGATTTCGAGAGGAGAAAATAATTAAAATCTACCGGGCAAAGGGTGGGGCTGCCGGGCCGGGGGGCAGAAGGAAAGTGCAACGGGATGGCATGCAAGCAGACGAGCTAGCGCCCTCGGCCGCAACCGTCGAGAAGGGACTGCGGCGAGAAGGAGGCTCGTGGAAGGTGGGTGAAGCAGGTGCCAACAACCCTTTGCCAGCATCGTATGCTTGTTTGTCTGCCTGTCTGTCTGTCTGTCTGTCTGTCTGCCAGGTCAGTGTTGGCAACAGGTTGGCGCTGTAGAACCAGGCCTTACGTGACCAACCGACTGGGCTCGGCAAACTTGTCTATCGGATCGGCAACTAGTCTGGCACCGTTAAATTGACCCTTAGTGAAGCACTTCCGAGTGTTCACACAAAAGATGAACCACTCGAGGTCTAATTGCCAGCCCAGTTGTCCTGCCAGGGGACAGAAAACTTTCCGCCTCGCTACGAGTGTCAGCGGCTAACCAACCGGTCTTGGGTCAAATACAAGCCAAGAGGTACATTCAATGGGCTCAGTTAGAGGCACTTTATGACGCTCGTCAACACACGACGACACAGGCGATGTCTGGATCGCAAAAAAATGTGCATAACTTGTCACACAGACGTACAAACACACATGAATGCATACGTATTTGATCGCATACACACAACATACAAACATACATATACACATACATACATACAA